ATCCCCCACCCCAATTCAAATTTTTTTTTTAAAAAGGATTTACCTTATACTGACGTTGTAAATAATTTTTACATAATCAATATAAATTCACATGTTATAACAAGTTAACCGTCCGTTTTTTCAAGTTGCTAATTTTCCACAAATCATGGATAATTATCTGCAGTTATCTTTTAGGTGATCTGTCTGTTCGTGTATCCAGATTGTTTAAGTTTACACTATTAGAACACCTGAAAGATAGCTACAGATAATTGTTCATGAAATTAGATTAGTAACCTGAAAAATAAAAGAGATACTTGCTACAACAAGTTAAAATACACTAATAGTGTAACAAGTCATTATACTATCAATATTTATAAGTTAAATTATATAAGAAAAACCTTAAACTTACCAGCAAAGTTTAGTCCTGGTAAGCAAAGAATAATCCCCTCAATTAGTAAATAAAAAGAGATTAAAAAAAAAAAAAAAGCAGCTGGACCCATCAACCAACCGAGTCAAGTGAGTTAATAACTGTGCAGGCGAATTAACTCGGACGAGTCGAACCCGGGTCAAAATCAGCCGTATCTTTATTTCATCTCCATTGGAAAATTAATTACCAAATGGACTTGTCTGAGACGCCATTCAATAGTGGTCTCGAATCAGCCCAGAAATCAAGGTTGCTTCTTAATCCCATATGACAACAATATCTCTGAAAATCCTCAAAATTAATGAAACATCCGACGTTGTTCTTATCGGATTCGGATCGGGCCAAGTAACAGAGTATTTCCTCGAATAATGTCTCGTCGCAAGGAATTGTTAATAGGCCTGAATTTGTGAAACCGAATTCTTCTTCGGCTTGTGAGAGGAGCTTTTTGAATAATGGATGGTTCAGGTACGTCGCGCGGACCACATATCTTTTGCAACTGGTGCCTACGGAGACTGCCACGTGTCCGGAAGGTACATCGGACGGTACACGGCGAGCTGCAGCCTTCTTCCTCCACCTCCGTAGCATTTGACGGAGTCGAACAATGTAACGTATTTTACTGCAGGCTGACATTTTCTCGAGAAAGTGAAGGAAAATGTGAGAAAAAAATTCTCTGTTGTTTTTTTTTCTCTTTAATTGTACTGATGATCGTTTGTTTCTGTTTCAGAACGGAAAAAGTAAAGGTTTTTTTCCAGGTTTTTCAGAGTGGGGATGGCGCGGGTTTATATAAAAGTTTGAGTTAATAAACGACCCCTACTTTTGAAGATATTTACGACCTTTGCCACTATTTCTAAATTGAGTAATTTATTCCTTTGCTTCCGATAAGTCGTATATTGCATTTTTTGCAATTTGAGATTTTGCATGAGAAATTTTGTGGCAACTCAATTTCGGCGTTCCACTTTCTTTTTAAGCTAATTTTAATATAAGATATTAATTACTGAAGCTTCGTTATAAAACTTTGTTTCAAGTTTTAATATAAGATTTTAAAACTTTGTTTTAAAAGGTAGAAATGGGACTCGCCCCGGGACGGAGCACTCGTAAAACGTCCCTGGGCTTATGTGTGGAGCTTAGTTCCGTGAGACTTACGTCTCGGCCATTGGGGCTTACGCCTCGGGCACGCCCAACGCCCAGCGTACTGGGCTCGCCTAATAGAACTTTATGCAATTGTATGTAACTAACCTTGTAAATCCTCAAAATTTCTTAATAAATCGTTGACTATTCAAAATTATTTTTTTCTTAATCATAAATCATTAAGTTGACTGTATTTTATGTCATAATTTAGATAATATTATTGCACGTTATCCACTAAGACTGCTATGATAGTTAATTTTAAATAAATCTTTCATTTAAAAAGTATTTATTTATTAACTTTTGTTTGTCTTTACTATATAATAGTCTGTAATTTTTTCATAATTATTTTTTTCACGTTTACGAGATACAATACTTATTAATTTAATAGCTCAGTATTAGCTAGTAACTATTTACAAATAATTTGTTATCATGGTATTGTATGGTGAATTATGTGTCACTTTATTAACTTGTTCGAACTAAAAAATAAATGGTGCTAGAGAATCATATTTGAATTTTGAATTATGCTTTTATATAAATTCTCTTTCAAATAGAAAGCATATTAAATGAAAGGAGTGTTTTAAGGAAAATATCAAATTATAATATCGAAATTCTTTCAAGATTTATTACTCCTTAAGAGATACATATAAGATTTTGTATCAAATACATTACTTTTGATGTTTGAGTTGTAACTACGGTGCAGCTAATTTGCGATATATGTCATACTTTTCATATTATTCATAGTTGAATTATAAATTATAGATATTTTTAATAGATTATTTATTATAATTTTATAATTTTAATGTAATTTTTATAATTATTTTTTATTTTATACTATCTTAAAATTCTTGAAATTAGTAAAATTTAAAGATCCATGGGACTTACGCCCCACGTCTCAAGGCTTACGCCTCGCCTCGTCATCAGAGGTAAAACGCCTCGCCTCACACCCCCGCCTTTTAAAACATTGTCATCGACTTGACGACTTTTCCCGATCACTTGTTAAACCGGAAAAGGGTTAAAATGCCCCTAAGCTATTGCAAAAGGTTTAAAAATACCATTCATTCACCTATTGGGCTAAAAATACTCCTCCATCCACCTTTTTGGTTCACTTATGCCCTTTGACCGTTAGGTCAATACTGAATTAAATATAATAATTATTTAAATTCCACGTGGCAACTTCTTATTGGTCGAAATTAAAACATCTAACCTATTAGAAAGACCTACCCATATCTACCTATTTTTCGGACTAACCCTCCCCAAAATACTAACCCAACCCGAATAAAAAGTTCAAATAGAAAAACGACACCCCACTTCCTAACCACAATTTTTTCACGGAGAATTCTCTCTTCTCTCGAACAGAGGTACTAATTCTATCTATGAAAGTATAGTTTGATATTTCTAATAATTTTGTTTTAGTTCGGTGTTTAGAAATGATCGTTTTCTTCCTGATAGTCAATACTGATGGCGAATTTCTGAACAGCGAATGAAAAAAAAATACCAGTAACAGAGAAAGTTTGATGACTTGACTTTTTTAAAGAATCGCAATGAAACTCGTTCGAATGATTAGTTTTTCTTTGGCAAAATTCATTACAAGTTTCCGAAAATATTTTGAGTGCTAGGTTACAGGATACGTCACCATATCCCTGTAGTATAACGTTTCGGCGTTAGCGAATTTTTCGTAATTGTTGCGATGTGCAAGTATAATTATTTGGTCTTGGTTTTGTTTTGATTACTAAGTTTATTTGAGATTATAATCACCGATGCACTGTGGTTTGGAAGTGGGACGTTTTTTTTAGTTGAACTTTTTATTCGGGTCGGGTTAGTGTTTGGGCAGGTTAGTCCGGAAAACGGGTATATATGGGTGGGTCTTTTTAATAGATTAGATGTTTTAATTTCGGCCAATAAAAAGTTGCCACATGGAATTTAAATAATTATTATTTTTAATTCAGCATTGACCTAGTGAACCAAAAAGGTCGATGTAGGGGTATTTTTAGTCCAATAGGCGGATGAAGGATATTTTTAAACCTTTTCCAATAGTTTAGGGATATTTTTAACCCTTTTCCGAAAGATAACATCTTTTTTGTATTTATCATGATAAGAATATAGTTTAATTTTAGATGACGAAAAAATATGATGCGTATAAGTATTGTTGTACGGAAAAGTGAAGAATTAGAAAATTAAGGATTAAACAATCAGTTTAAATGGAGAATTTGTAATTATATATTTCCATTCTCTTGAAATCCTTGCGTCAATTTGGTTGAAATTATATAAATTTCAAACAGAGTAAAACCAATACACTAAGAGCCCGTTTGGTTTAGCTGATACGAAGTAGCTGATAAGCATTAGATGCTGAAAAGCACTTTTAAGTGCTGAAACTGATTTAATAAATAAGCAGTTACGTGTTTGAGTACAAGTGCTGAAATTAATAATAAGTTGCTGCAGCATTTGATAAAAAAGTGTTGATAAGCTCTTTTTCTGTTAAAATGACTTAAATAACCTTAGAACTGTTTACACTTATAAGGGCATAATTTCTTCAAAATTTTAGATTCCAGATCGATTCAAATACAAAATATTCTATTTGTCATTTTATTTTAAATACAATTGTGCTAAGATAAGATAATTTTTAAGTTAAATATAATTTATTTTATGATAAGCATATAACCATAAGTTATAATAAATAATAAATTGACAAAAGTTTCTGAGAAAAAATAAACCTAAATAGAACAAATTATTTGAAGAGATTGCCTTCATCACCACAACACTTAGAAAGCAATACACCAAAGATTTGATATGTCCTCATTTATTACATACAGTATAAAGATTAATATACAATCACATAGATATTAGTATGCAAAGGAATAGAGAATTTGCTTATCTTAAATAGTCAATTAGAATTGCTAACTTAGAAGAGGTGGGGGGGGGGGGGTAGGGGTAGGGGGTTTAGGTTGAATAGTTGAGGCGGTGACTATCAATGTAGGAGTTATGTTCCAGAAAGAAATATTTTAAGGATAAAATAGTAAAAATTTTGGTCAAACTTAAAGTGCTTATAAGCTAAATATTCATAAGCTGGGGGTGACCAGCTTATGGCTTTTGGCTTATTTTTGACATATAAGCACCCGACTTATAAGCACTTTTAACTTTACCAAATGCGTAGATAAGCCGAAAAGTGCTTATAAGCTAGTTTGACCAGCTTACAAGGTTAGCCAAACACCCTCTAAATGAAGTGCAAGTTACGTATTGTGTTGGATATTTTCATGTATCAAAGATAGAAAGTCATAATTCCTAGGTAGTTCAATTTAAATGGTGTGAGTTATAATCTTGTATATGTAATACTTAAGATTAACCATATTCATATTAAGATTAACCATATTCATATTATAAAGTACTCCCTCTGTTTTAATTTAGATGATACATTTCGCTTATCAACGATCAATTTGACTAAACTTCGAAGCTAAATTGGTTTAGCTCAACTCCATATTTTAAAATTAAAATTTACATATTCAAAAACTATACGAGAAATACTATAAGTTGCAATTTTTCTCATGTTAATGTTATTGAGACTTATATTGTATTTGTATTTATATTTTGTAGTTAAATTTAGTTAGATTAGTCAGGGGCAGTTCTGTACTTTCACCTAGTAGTTAGATTTGTTGTATATTGTCTGTACGTTGATACATTTGAGCAATACAGAAAATTATTTTCTCTCTTCTAGAATATTCCTTTTTTCTTCTCTCTCTCACAGCTCATCCGTCAATGGCAGAGTTCATCACTGTGGGAACATACGAGTTCAACAAGGTACCAGAGCATACGTTCTAGATGTGAGATCGTCTATCTCGTCTTCCTCATCTTGTTGTTAATCGGAGTTTCTCTTTCGTTCTCAGTCCCAAATCGCGAAATCGAGATTTTAGGGTTTTTCAGATTCACAGGTTAATCGAGTGTTTTTCGCTCACTCTCTTCACAACTGATCACTATTACTCACTAATTTGAGCTGAATGATGGTCGGAGACAAGGATACTTCAAATACAACTAACCCTAGTTTGGACACAACTACTCTACATGCACCCGTCAGAGAGTGCTGGAACAGTGCTAGTACTAGTAACTTCCGACGGAACGGGCTATAGATCCTAGAGGATAGGTGTTCTTAGAGCACTTTCTGTAAAAAATAAAGTCGGATTCATCACTGGAAAATGTAAGAAGCCGGGCTCCGATGATGCGAACTTTGACCAGTGGGCTCGACGCGATGACATGGTGACATCGTGGATTCTTAACTCACTCTCAAAAGACTTGGCAGACAGTTTGCAATACATCAATGATGCCAAGGAGTTATGGCAGGAATTGGATGATCGATACGATCAAACCAACGGGGCAAAGCTCTATTAGCTTCAGAAGGAGATAAATGACCTTAGTCAAGGTGCTCTAGATATCACAGGATACTATACAAAAATAAAGAAGCTTTGGGAGGAACTAACCACTGTAAATACCCACGCACAATGCAATTATCAATGCACTTGTGGAGCCAAGGCAAATATGCACAAAGCTGAACAGGATCACAGACTTATTCAGTTCCTAATGGGATTTAATGAAGTTTATACAGTTGTAAGGGGTAGCATCATAATGATGAACCCATTACCTAGCATTGCACAAGCCTTCTCCATTTTAATCCAAGAGGAGAAGCAAAGAGAAGTCAGGCCGAGTAACCAATTGGCCATGGAATCTGCATCACTCAATGTTAATGGACCTGGTCAAAATACATTCAAAACCAACTATGCTCCCCATAGACGTGGTACAGGGAACAATTCATTCAGAGGAAATGGAAATCACACACACAATAAGTCAAAACTTTTCTGTGATTATTGCAAGAAGCTAGGACACACAAGAGAAAATTGTTAAAGGATACATTGATTTCCACAAGATTTCAAGTTCACTAAGGGCAGAAATGTAGGATCTGCTGCAAATGTTCACGGAGGATGTGAAGAGTCATTTGGTGGAAGTATTGAAGGGGCAGAGAACAAGAATCCAAACCAGTGTGTGCTAGGTCTGACAAAAGAACAATATGGACAGTTGCTGAACATGCTGGAGACCTTTCAAGCTGGAAATACAGGGGAAAATCCAAACAACATTGCTTGTGGAGTTGCCAACTTTGCAAGTATTCCAACTTGCTCTACTTATAAAGAGATTGTAGAAACAACTATGTGTAAATGTTCTAAATCTATTGCTGACTTATGGACCCTAGATAGTGGAGCTTCAAACCACATGACATATAGAAAATCTTCCCTAACCAACATTAAAACACTACCCTATCCATTTTTAGTTACCCTACCTGATGGATACAAAGTCAAGGTGACAGAAATAGGAGATGCATTCCTTGGTCCTAGCCTCACTTTGTTTAGAGTGTTATATGTACCCAGTTTCAAGTTTAATATCATCTCATCTCAATTCATTGATTAACTGTGCATCTAAATTGTATGGTTAACTTCAATAAATATCTCTGTCCGATGCAGGCCCCTTCAATGAAGAGGCCTCTAGAGATTGATAAGGCAAGAAGTGGTCTATACTTCCTCTGCTCAGTATACCTCAGTCAAGAGTCTAAGTCAAATTTCATTTCCGCTTTCAACTTTGATCTTTTCAAGCACTTTAGTTCATGTCTTCCTACATCTGTAAATACTGCAAGTAGAGCTGAGAGTCATCCCCTTTATTCATCTGCATTTGTAGACAAATCATCATGTCCACCTAATGCTGTAAATATGCTCCATTCAATCAATAAGACAGACTCTTCTATGGTTAATTCCATTTTAATGTCTTCTATTATGTCTCATGGAAATAATGTTGATCATTTGTGGAACAATAGGCTAGGACATATACCTTTTGTAAAAATAAGGAGAATTTCCACAATACCTGTAAATTTTGCTCCGATGCAGCCTTTCTTTTGCCCAATTTGCCCAATGGCTAGACAAACCAAACTCCCATTTGCCCATAATACTACCACTTCAACTAAGATCTTTGAACTAATACACTTGGATCTATGGGGCGCTTATGTAAACACACATGACAATCATAAATATTTTCTAACCTTGGTTGATGACTTTAGTAGATCAACATGGACTATTATTTGAAATAATTATTATTTTTAATTCAGCATTGACCTAGTGAACCAAAAAGGTCGATGTAGGGGTATTTTTAACCCAATAGGCGGATGAAGGGTATTTTTAAATCTTTTCCAATAGCTTAGGGGCATTTTTAACCCTTTTACGAAAGATAACATCTTTTTTGTATTTATCATGATAAGAATATAGTTTAATTTTAGATGACGAAAAAATATGATGCGTATAAGTATTGTTGCACGGAAAAGTGAAGAATTAGAAAATTAAGGATTAAACAATCAGTTTAAATGGAGAATTTGTAATTATATATTTCCATTCTCTTGAAATCCTTGCGTCAATTTGGTTGAAATTATATAAATTTTAAATAGAGTAAAACCAATATACTAAGAGCCCGTCCGGATTAGCTGATTTGAAATAGCTGATAAGCATTAGATGCTGAAAATCACTTTTAAGTGTTGAAACTAATTTAATAAATAAGCAGTTACGTGTTTGGGTACAAGTGCTGAAATTAATAATAAGTTGTTGCAGCATTTGATAAAAAAGTGCTGATAAGCTCTTTTTCTGTCAAAATGACTTAAATAACCTTAGAACTGTTTACACTTATAAGGGCATAATTTCTTCAAAATTTTAGATTCCAGATCGATTCAAATACAAAATATTCTATTTGTCATTTTATTTTAAATACAATTGTGCTTAGTTAAGATAATTTTTATGATAAATATAATTTATTTTACGATAAGCATATAATCATAAGTTATAATAAATAATAAATTGACAAAAGTTTCTCAGTAAAAAATAAACCTAAATAGGACAAATTATTTGAAGAGAAACAAACATTGCCTTCATCACCACAACACTTAGAAAGCAATACACCAAAAATTTGATATGTCCTCATTTATTACATACAGTACAAAGATTAATATACAATCACATAGATATAAGTATGCAAAGGAATAGAGAATTTTCTTATCTTAAATAGTCAATTAGAATTGCAGACTTAGAAGAGGCGGGGGAGGGGGGGGGGTTTAGGTTGAATACTTGAGGCGGTGACTATCGATGTAGGAGTTCTGTTCCAGAAAGAAATATTTTAAGGATAAAATAGTAAAAATCTTGGTCAAACTTAAAGTGCTTATAAGCTAAAAATTCATAAGCTGGGGGTGACCAGCTTATGGCTTTTGGCTTATTTTTGACATATAAGCACTTGGCTTATAAGCACTTTTATCTTTACAGAATGCGTAAATAAGCCGAAAAGTGCTTATAAGCTAGTTTGACAAGCTTATAAGCTTAGCCAAACACCATCGAAATGAAGTGCAAGTTACGTATTGTGTTGGATATTTTCATGTATCAAAGATAGAAAGTCATAGTTCCTAGCTAGTTTAATTTAAATGGTGTGAGTTATAGTCTTGTATATGTAATACTTAAGATTAACCATATTCATATTATAAAGTACTCCCTCTGTTTTAATTTAGATAACACATTTCGCTTATCGACAATCAATTTGGCTAAACTTCGAAGCTAAATTGGTTTAGCTCAACTCCATATTTTAAAATTAAAATTTACATATTCAAAAACTATACGAGAAATACTATAAGTTGCAATTTTGCTCATGTTAATGTTATTGAGACTTATATTGTATTTGTATTTATATTTTGTAGTTAAAGTTAGTTAGATTAGTCAGGGGCAGTTCTGTACTTTCACCAAGTAGTTAGATTTGTTGTATATAGTCTGTACGTTGATACATTTGAGCAATACAGAAAATTATTTTCTCTCTTCTAGAATATTCCTCTTTTCTTCTCTCTCTCACAACTCATCCGTCAATGGCAGAGTTCATCACTGTGGGAACATACGAGTTCAACATGGTACCAGAGCATACGTTCTAGATGTGAGATCGTCTATCTCGTCATCCTCATCTTGTTGTTAATCGGAGTTTCTCTTTCGTTCTCAGTCCCAAATCGCGAAATCGAGATTTTATGGTTTTTCAGATTCACAGGTTAATCGAGTGTTTTTCGCTCACTCTCTTCACAACTGATCACTATTACTCACTAATTTGAGCTGAATGATGGCCGGAGACAAGGATACTTCAAATACAACTGACGCTAGTTTGGACACAACTACTCTACATGCACCCGTCTGAGAGTGCTCGAACAGTGCTAGTACCAGTAGCTTCCGACAGAACGGGCTATAGATCCTGGAGGAGAGGTGTTCTCAGAGCACTTTCTGTAAAGAATAAAGTCGGATTCATCACTGGAAAATGGAAGAAGCCGGGCTCCGATGATGCGAACTTTGACCAGTGGGCTCGATGCGATGACAAGGTGACGTCGTGGATTCTTAACTCACTCTCAAAAGACTTGGCAGACAGTTTGCAATACGTCAGTGATGCCAAGGAATTATGGCAGGAATTGGAGGATCGATACGATCAAACCAACGGGGCAAAACTCTATCAGCTTCAGAAAGAGATAAATGACCTTAGTCAAGGTGCTTTAGATATCACAGGATACTATACAAAAATGAAGAGGCTTTGGGAGGAATTAACCACTGTAAATACCCACGCACAATGCAATTGTCAATGCACTTGTGGAGCCAAGGCAAATATGCACAAAGCTGAACAGGATCGCAGACTTATTCAGTTCCTAATGGGATTTAATGAAGTTTATACAGTTGTAAGGGGTAGCATCATAATGATGAACCCATTACCTAGCATTGCACAAGCCTTCTCCATTTTAATCCAAGAGGAGAAGATAAGAGAAGTCAAGTCGAGTAACCAATTGGCCATGGAATCTGCATCACTCAATGTTAATTGACCTTGTCAAAATACATTCAGAACCAACTATGCTCCACATAGACGTGGTACAAGGAACACTTAATTCAGAGGAAATGGAAATCACACACACAATAAGTTAAGACTTTTCTGTGATTATTGCAAGAAGCCAGGACACACAAGAGAAAATTGTTAAAGGATACATGGATTTCCACAAGATTTCAAGTTCACTAAGGGCAGAAATGCAGGATCTGCTGCAAATGTTCACGGAGGTTGTGAAGAGTTATTTGGTGGAAGTATTGAAGGGGCAGAGAACAAGAATCCAAACCAATGTGTGCCAGTCTGATAAAAGAACAATATGGACGGTTGCTGAACATGCTGGAGACCTTTCAAGCTGGAAATACAGGGGAAAATCCAAACAACATTGCTTGTGGAGTTGCCAACTTTGCAAGTATTCTAGCTTGCTCTACTTATAAAGAGATTGCAGAAACAACTATGTGTAAATGTTCTAAATCTATTGCTGACTTATGAATCCTAGGTAGTGGAACTTCAAACCACATGACTTATAGAAAATCTTTCCTAACCAACATTAAAACACTACCCTATCCATTTTTAGTTACCCTACCTAATGGATACAAAGTCAAGGTGACAAAAATAGGAGATGCATTCCTTGGTCCTAGCCTCACTTTGTTTAGAGTGTTATATGTACCCGGTTTCAAGTTTATTCTCATCTCATCTCAATTCATTCATTAACTGTGCATCTAAATTATATGGTTAACTTCGATAAACATCCCTGTCTGATGCAGGCCCCTTCAATGAAGAGGCCTTTGGAGATTGATAAGGCAAGAAGTGGTCCATACTTCCTCTGCTCAGTATACCTCAGTCAAGAGTCTAAGTCAAATTTTATTTCTGCTTTCAACTTTGATCTTTTCAAGCACTTTAGTTCATGTCTTCCTACATCTGTAAATACTGCAAGTAGAGCTGAGAGTCATCCCCTTCATTCATATGCATTTGTAGATAAATCATCATGCCCACCTGATGCTGTAAATATGCTCCATTCAATCAATAAGACAGACTCTTCTACGGTTAATTCCATTTTAATGTCTTCTATTATGTCTCATGAAAATAATGTTGACCATTTGTGGCACAATAGGATAGGACATGTACCTTTTGTAAAAATGAGGGGAATTTCCACAATACCTGTAAATTTTGCTCCCAGGCAGCGTTTCTTTTGCCCAATTTGCCCAATGGCTAGACAAACCAGACTCCCATTTGCCCATAATACTACCACTTCCACTAAGATCTTTGAACTAATACACTTGGATCTATGGGGCGCTTATCATGTAAACACACATGAGAATCATAAATATTTCCTAACCTTGGTTGATGACTTTAGTAGATCAACCTGGACTCATCTGTTGAGATGTAAAAGTAATGTTCTCCAGATCCTCAAGGCCTTCATCTCTATGATAGAAAATTAGTTCAAAATCACAGTCAAAATCATTAGGTCTGACAATGGCCAAGAATTTGTCAATAATGAATCAATGTCATACTTCCAAACCAAGGGAATTGTTCACCAGAAAACATGTCCATACACACCACAGTAAAATGGTGTAATGGAGAGAAAACATAAATATCTACTTGAGACAGCAAGGGCTTTACTATACCAGTCCAAATTGCCCATGGGGTTGCATCCTCACTGCCACATATCTGATAAACAGATTTCCTTCCACAACTCTTAAAAACAAATGCCCTTTTGAAATTCTATATGAAAGTAACCAAATTATTCACACCTTAGGAGTTTTGGTTGCCTGTGTTATCCCACTAGCTTAAAAGGTCACAAGGATAAGTTTGAACCAAGATCCACACCTCGTGTGTTCATACGATATCCCTTTGGGACAAAGGGGTACAAGGTCCTAGACTTAGCCACTAAGAGGACACATGTTTCCAGGGATGTCCAGTTTCATGAAAATATATTTCCCTTTGCCACTAATTCTGAGTCAAGCACTTCTAGCTTCCCTAGGTCATTCCCAGACTCCACTCCTAAATGCATTGATTCAGATCCTTGTAGTTCAAGAAATAGTCATCTGTCTGATAGGAATGCACACCCTTTTGATTCTGTCACCACTGACTCGCCTAACAATTCACCTACCCCTACTACTTCACCTCTTGAAAGCCCTACCACTACAAGTCGGGGTAATACCTCACTTGAAAGGCATACACAACAACAGTATGATGTTTCCACCCTCACTAACCAATAAGACCCTCCACATTTGAGAAGATCCTCCAGAACTCATACAACTCCTTCACATCTTAAGGAATATGTTTACTCCATACCAAATTTGCAGCCTAGCTCTTCCCAAATCAACCAATCTTCACTCACCAGATCATTTGACACTCAGCCAAATTTGCAGCCTAGCACTTCTCAAGCCAACCAAAATTCACTCACCATATTAGTTGCTAATAAGCACCATGTTGCATTCAATACCTTTAATCATGAAAGTCAGCAGCTCTTAAGGAACATTTCACATAACTATGAGCCAAACACTTATGAGGAGGCAACTGTGAATCCTGCATGGCAGGCAGCTATGACACAGGAATTTCAGACATTACACACTAACCATACTTAGGATTTAGTGCATTTACCTGTAGGGAAAAAGGCAATAGGTTGCAAGTGGGTGTACAAAATCAAGCACAAGGCATATGGGAGCATAGAGAGATTCAAAGCCAAACTTGTGGTGAAAGGCTACACCCAGGAAGCAGGGATTGACTATACTGAGACATTCTCCCCAGTGATGAAGATGACCACAGTTAGGACATTGGTCACCATTGCTGTAAGAAGAGGGTGGGGCCTTTACCAACTGGATGTAAATAATGTTTTCCTCCATGGAGACTTGCATGAGGAAGTATATATGGAGATTCCACAGGGGTTGATGGTAGATGATAGCAAGCTGGTATGCAGGCTCAGAAAATCTTTTTATGGGCTCAAACAGGCTAGCAGACAATGGTATGACAAATTGACAGAGTCCTTATGCTCCAAAGATTTTCAGCACTCAGCTAGTGACTATTCACTCTTCTATAAGAAGGAAGGATCTTCACTGGTGTTAGTAGTTGTCTATATAGATGATGTGATCCTGACTGGCAATGACTTAGAAGAGATAGAAAGGCTGAAGACATTCCTGCATAATCAATCCAGGATCAAAGACTTAGGGGCATTACATTACTTTTTGAGTCTGGAAATACTGTATCAAGATAATGGAGTTCTGATGACTCAAAGGAAGTTCACCAATGACCTGTTGAAAGAGTATGACTGCTTAGGCTACACTACTGTGTCATCTCCTCTTGATTCCACAATCAAGTTGAAGGCTGGAGAAGGGCCTTACTCTCAGATCCAATGTACTACAGAAAGTTGGTTGGAAAGCTCAATTTCCTCACCAACACAAGATTAGATATAGCATAGAGTATCCAACACCTGAGCCAGTTTATGCAAGCCCAAGGGAGCCACGTCTGAAGGTTGCTTTGCATGTCCTAAGGTACCTGAAACAAGACCTTACTTTGGGAATTTTTCTGTCCAAGGATCCCAATTATGGGTTAAGGGCTTATTGCGACTCACACTGGGCATCTTGCCCTGATTCAAGAAAGTCGGTTAGTGGCTACATTGTCTTACTTGGCGATAGCCCCATTAGCTGGAAGTCCAAGAAACAGAGTACAGTATCACTTTCCTCTGCTGAAGAGAGTACATGTCAATAAGGAAAGTGGTAGGAGAATTAGTGTGGGTAAAGAGGTTGATGGAGGAACTTGCAGTGATTTGTCATGATCCTATTCCTGTGTTTTGTGATAGTATGGCAGCTGTTCACATTGCAAGAAATCCAGTCTTTCATGAAAGGACTAAACACATAGAGGTAGACTGTCACTTTGTGAGGGACAAGATTCAAGATGGTCTTATTACACTACACCACATATCCACCAATACACAGTTGGCTAATATCTTAACCAAGGTACTTATATGGATTAAACACTCTGCCATTCTTGGCAAGTTGGCTGTGAGCTCCTCACCTCTGACTTGAGGGGGGCGGGTTATTGAGACTTATATTGTATTTGTATTTATATGTTGTAGTTAAAGTTAGTTAGATTAGTCAGGGGCAGTTCTGTACTTTCATCTAGTAGTTAGATTTGTTGTATGTAGTCTGTACGTTGATACATTTGAGCAATACAGAAAATCATTTTCTCTCTTCTAGAATATTCCTCTTTTCTTCTCTCTCTCACAGCTCATCCGTCAATGTTGGATTTCATCACTGTGGGAACATACGAGTTCAACAAATGTGATAAAAAAATATTTCAAAATATTGATCAAACTTTATACGATTTGACTTTCGATAAACAAAACATGTCATCTAATTTGAAACTGAGAGAGACCATTCAAAAAAAAAATCATTGGCCCCAAATGACTTTTACTGGTGTCCCCAAAGAAGATCTATCCCACTTTTAATTTTTACAAGTTCTTCTGTTCATTAAATGTTTTGGGTTCTCGATTAATTTCAGCAATAATATTTTTACTATGATTGAAATGTCAGAAATGACATCACCTGCGCTCCATACATTTAACCAAATGGTCTTTTAATTGGAAGATTTTAATCAGTTATAAAATCTATATATTGCTAGAAGATAATCCTCTTTATGTGGCTCTAGTGTTTTACGTAATCTAATGAAACATTCATATTCCTTTCCAAGAGAAAATAGAAAACATAATATCTACTTAATTATCGACAGTTAACTAAATAAAGCAAATTTACACACACAGAAATCCTCCACGTTTTGTTCTCTTTTTATTTTCTCTGGATTTTCCAATCTTTATAGAGGATCAATTCTGACACATAAGAGGCCATGGCCGTTTACTTTGAAATAGGCAACTCTTGCTTTGAGTTTTTTTAAAAGTCATTTCATGTCTTTATGATACTTTTCATTTTAATTTTGCTTATTCGTTATTTGGTTTATTAAAGCTAATTAATTACGTAGTTAAAAACTTCATACATAAAAGGACCG